GTAGACTTAAAGTTACGCCCTTGAGCTGACACTGAGAGTTGATCAGTTCAACAATCCTGATCATGTTTTTGTCCTTCAGTGTTGTCATTTACATCTTCTGGCAACTCATTCAAGGCCGCAAAGAGCTCATCGCTCTGCTCCGACAGCAGATCATTAATGTGAGTTCACTCTAAAAATGTTCAATTTAAACATTTCAGTTTGGGCATCTATTTTATATTTTCTTCTCTGTCTGTTTCTGATTTGTTTTCTCACCAGGAGGGAAAAGACAAGACCTTCTTGCTGGAGAAAATACAAAGCCTGCAGAGCTCTCACCCTCAGATCACTCCCAAACCAATGACTCAAAGAGGGGTCTGTTCTGATTCTGTTTTTGTAGTAAGCTCCACTTGTATCTCCAAACTCAAGATTTAATTTTTTCTCCTTCAGCCCTCGAGTCGACGCTCAGATGGCCGCTCCTCAGGAAGTCAGTCCAACTCGAATGCCATGGTTCAGGTTCTACTCGCTCGCCAGCAGCTGGAGGAAGAGGAGCAGAGTCGCAGCCTGGGCGGAGTCTCTGTTCCCTCTGACATTTCCAGCTCCAGCGCCGTCACGCAGGCCTTGCTGGCCCGACAGAGAGCTGAGAGGCAGAGTGAAGACTTTGACCAGGGGCCTGACGAACACCCTTCATCCCTCAGCGCCGTTGAGCAGGCCATGGCAGCCCGGCAGAGAGCTCAGAGTAACGACAGGGATGAGTACTGGAGTGTAACTGACTTTAATGACAGAAACCCCGTCGACAGACCCAGCGCCGTCGCGCAGGCCGTGCTGAGGGAGGAGAGCGCAGACGAGGATCCGCGAGGCCTGGCGTCACCCGTGTCCAGTGTGATGGTTCAAGTCATGCAAGCCAGGCAGAGAGCAGAGGAAGAGGAGAGGAGTCTGTGGACCCCGGCTCCACTGCAGAACCCAGCTCCTTCTGGCTCCAGCGCTCTCATCCAGGCCATGTTGGCCCGGCAACAGGCACAGAATGAATACGACGATGGTTACTGAGCAATGTCTTTCAAAAGCAAAAAACTCTCTCTCTCTCTCACACACACACGCACACACACACACACACACACACAAAAAAAAAACATCTAAAAATGTTAAGACTGAAATCAACACACTGAGTCCTACACACAATATTATTAATGTAAAAACTATAACAGGACAAATAGAGAGTGCAGGTTCACCTCTTAAAGTGTATTTTTTTATAAAATTATATTATACTAATATATTCCTGTATCTACCTTTAATGCTGAGCTTTGGTGTAGAAATACAGAATAAACATTAGTTTTATTCTCGTGCCCTTTCAAATGAAACTTCTGTATATTACTAGAAGTTAACGTTGTTCTGTTTTGCACAGCTGTTTGTTCAAACTTTATATTTATATATCCTTTTGAGAAAATGAAACTGAATTTGTTTTTTTAGAAAAAACAGGATTTACATCAAAATTTTCTGAAATACTTCATTTTTAACCTACAGATTTCTCTGATTTACGAGGTTAAGCTAGAAGTTCCAATGTTTTTTTTTGCATTAAATAATCATTTTAAATCTCCACTCACCAATGACATACTTATAAAAAAAAGAAAAAGATTTCTGCTAAACAGCTAGTTTATAATGTTTGTGTACAAGTACAAATACTGTTTTCAAGGTTTGACTAATATAAAACTCCAGCATGAAGAACAGCAGGAGATATGCATTTAAATATGTTATATATTAAAATATCTTCATTTTCAGAATCCAGTGAACAGTTATGCATTATTTATCACAACTATTCGGTGCACAAACATCACCATTATTTACACTTTATAAACCATTTTAGGCACATTGTTTTCACTCTTTTATGTTTTTATTTGAAAATAAATAAAACCAGGTTGAAACATTTTCTCATCTTTGCATTTATTTTATTTTATGTTTAATAAGGCTGTTAGAAACTGAGAGCCTCTCGCTCTGTTTTTATAAACACACTCAACATTTTCTTTGAATTTTCACATTATATTTAGTTACAAAAACTGACAAATGTATCCACGCGTTTCACAGAACGTCCACTTTTCCCCACTTCGTAGCTGGTCTCCTCCAGTTTGAGCTCCGTGACCTGTTTTTATTTAAGGCAGTGTTGAAATGCTAAAAGTGTCCTCACAAACCCTCAGTCTGCGTAAAACACTCAAGAGTCAAAAGCATCTCTTGACGTTCCAAGATGAGCCGCTGGGAGAAGTGTCATGGCCGTCTCAGCACTGRTCCTCCCCCAGAGAGGCTGCAAAGTCACTCAGGTCCAAGGAGCCGGCAGGTATGGGAGTCCTCCTGCCACTTTTCAGACACTGGCTGGAGTAAACATTCACCGTTTCGGAGATGGAGTGCAAGGAGTGATCCCGGAAATATCCGTAAGCCTCCCGAGTGTTCTCGCCCCGGATAGTTTGCTCGAACGTCTTGCGTTTGTGTCTGAACTCGATGACGGTCTTGGTGTAGGAGTTGAGCGTGGTGACGGATGCCCCCATACAGCAGGTGAAAGACGCCCAAGCCAAGCTGATACAAACACAGCAAACGGAAATAAATAATAACAATGATTTACTTTMTTTTCTGCTGCGAAAACTCCGTTTTTCTAGCAGATTTGGTCGACCTGCATGATAAAATAAAAACATCAAATGTATGTTTCACACAAGTAGGTTAATTCTAACAAAATCTCAATAATTGTTGATCCTCTAAAATGAATTTCAGCATACTGCATATATTATATAGGAGTGAGGTATTATCCCCTTATGCAATTCCAATCACGCCTGAATTGGGGATTTGGACACCAAAGACTAATCCTGTCATAACATGAGAGCTTTTGGCCTCTTTCATTACTGACAGYGATGCTGGAGAAAAGGTAAGAAAAGAGACAAGATGCAGGATGGAAATCTTAACGTGTCAGTTTTTACTCCGATTTCTCATGCATAATAATAGACGGAATAAGCTGCTGTTGTGTTTGTGGAGTCCTACCAGAAAGACCACCCGTAATCCCAGTTGTAGGGTCTCCAGTCAGCCGGGCCATGGCTGACGGTGACCTGGAAGACCTGAGTGTACATGACATGAGCCACCATGCCCAGGAGACCTGAGATAATAGAGAAAACATGTTGTTCAGGAAACCAGTAAGGTAAACACTGATAGATTCTTAGATGTGAATCTGTTTAAAATTCACAATTAATGAAAATTTGAAATTCCTCCAAATTTGTAAGAATTTATTGAAACTTTGCGTTAATATTAAACACCTACACTTTTGCACATTGGTTTTGTTTTTATTTAAAGCTGTTTTGTCAACCAAACAACACCTGTGTTAATGTGATGATGCTGATGATGCTGACAGTACTGACGGTGCTGATGATGCTGTGAATGTATCAGTCTACTGTCTCGGCCTTTTCAGCATTTATGCTGTCTATATTYGTTTGGAAACAGGCATAAACTAAACAAAAASAATGTCAAGTRAAAGTGTGGAGGTTTSACATGAKMTRATGTAGCTTCCTTCTGGTATAAATAAGCATAAAAAAAAAAGCTGACGATGGCATGTAGCCGAAACGTGTCCTGTTYTCTGCCYTTRTTAAAGCATGCTGATATTTTTGGAGAGCTGGTTATCCCATTTTTGTGWTTCYTCAGAATTTCTCCTTTTTTGTATTGGTGTTGTGCACACTACTTCTTACTTATTTTCCTTATTGTCCATCCAGTATAAAAACAAACCCTTGCTTAGCTAACTATTAACCTAGCCTGGAGGATGACTTATGCCTCTTTGACTGAGAAAGTATTAACTACTGATAAATGGCCAGGCTATCTCTCTCTGTGTACTCTTGTTATCAGTATCAAAAATGAAAATGTCCTTTGTGACTTTTCATTAAAATTCACTTTAAAACAAATTTTAGCTTTATTTGTTTGCTGAGTGTTTCAAAGTGATGCACAACCAGAACCAAACGTGTACATTTAAAGTTTAAGTTCGAGACAAGTAAACTCAGACCACCTGAGAGCACAGTGAAGACGGCAGCAAAGGCATTGAGCTTGAGTCCATCGATGACGTTGCTGGAGTGGACCAGCTCCACACACATGAGACCGAAGCCCACCATCAGGAGAAAAATGTACAACATCTCTGAAACCACCGACAGCCACAGCATCCCTAATGATGACACAGAATTACTATGTAAACTTGAATAAAAAGACTTCAAATGCTAAACTTTCAAATGTTATTGGAGAATATATTTAGAGTTACAAAATTATTGAGCTCGCTGGTGGCGCCACTTACAGAGTATGAGTGCCACCAAGGGGACAAAAAATGAAAATCAACAATAACTCAACCAGCTTTCTAATCTATACTCACTAAAGTTAAATAAAAATATGATTTTCTCTCATCAAATACATGCTGTTATGTTTTTATTTTACGTATTTTTTGGTTTCTGATTACACAGAAAAAAGAATGGGAATATTTGTTCATATTTAAAACTGTCCCAATGTACAGTTATTTATTTTAAAAGACATTTTAATATATTTTTTTAACTTCTAAACCTTAATAAAGAGTTATTATTGCCCACTTCTGATGTTTTTGCTTTGGTCTGTGTACATGTTTGTTTGTCTGCAGTGTTAGCAAAATATCTCATGAACCCGAGGACAGATTTTGATGAAACATTCAGAAAGTAATGAAGAGATGTTGATCAACAGCTGATTCATTTTTCAAGTCAACCATGTTCAGTTTATTTATTTATTTATTTATTTATTTATTTATTTATTTATTTATTTATTTAT